TGAAATTAAATTCCAGACAAGACAGAGGTACTCCTGGTCAGTCGCAAGGCCGAACAGGGTATAGGGTTACAGCCTGTGCTGGATGGGGTCGCACTCCCTTTGAAGGCGCAGGTTCGCAGCTTGGGTGTGATCCTGGATTCATCGTTGAGCCTGGATCCCCAGGTTTCAGCGGTGACCAGGGGAGCATTTGCACAGCTCAGGCTCGTGCGCCAGCTGCGCCCGTACCTCGGGAAGTCTGACTTGGCCACGGTAGTACACGCTCTGGTCACATCCCGCCTTGACTACTGCAACGCTCTCTACGTGGGGCTGCCCTTGAAGACGGCCCGGAAGCTTCAGCTAGTCCAGCGCGCGGCAGCCATGTTACTAACAGGAGCGGGACGCAGGGAGCACACAACGCCCTTGTTGTTCCAGCTCCACTGGCTGCCGATCTGCTACCAGGCCCAATTCAAGGTGCTGGTATTGGCCTACAAAGCCCTAAACGGTTCCGGCCCAAAATACCTTTCTGACCGCATCTCGGCCTATGAGCCCACGAGGACTTTGAGATCGTCTGGGGAGGCCCTTCTCTCGATCCCGCCTGCCTCACAGGCATGCCTGGCGGGGACGAGAGATAGGGCCTTCTCGGTGGTGGCCCCCCGGCTGTGGAACACCCTCCCTATAGACATCAGACAGGCGCCCTCCCTTATGACATTCCGCAAGAGACTAAAGACGTGGTTGTTTGAGAAGGCGTTTGACTAAGTGCTACAACAATTGGCAATGATGATTGGAACGGAATATGGATAACGAGATTGGTTTATGATTCTACGATGAGACGGCGCGGATGATTTAGTGTAATTGTATTATTGATAGTCATGTTGATATTTTGTTGTGATATTCCCTTATTGTAAACTGTTTTTATATGTTGTACACCGCTGTGAGTCGCCCTAGGGCTGAGAACGGCGGTCAACAAATGCAGTAAATAAATAAATAAAAGAAAAGAAAAAGAAAAAAATCTTAATGTTAACTACGTCAAAGTCAATATTAATTGTGTCCAAAGATCTGTAAGTCCCACAAAACAAGAACAAGTATCAGTCAATGAATAACTTGACATCTAAATTCACCAACTCATTCCCAAAATTAACAAAACTCTTTTTTAATTTAAGTTTTTCTTTTACTAGGTAGCCAACCTACCTAAGTTCCTGTCTCAATATTTTCTGGGGAATACCAACGGCTATATTCAGAACTTTATCTTGCAGAATGACAGAAAATTGGTTGATATTACATAATATATCACATCTCTACAAAAAAAATATCAATGCATACAGAAGCTGTTGGAGCTGTAATATTTTTAAAGTCAACTCTGTAATGACCACTAAACATAGCAATGCTATCTGGCAGTGCTATGTTCTGTTTATTTGCAATATTCATTTAACCACATATATGGTGTATACTCTTCGTTTTTTAAGATAACCTCTAATATAAAGATTTTTTCTACTAATTCAAAAATATTTTGTGTAAATGCAATCCTGCTAGAAGCCTCATATTCTTCATTATGGATAGAGGGAAGGAAATAATTTTGGTATCTATCACTTATATTTTAAAACAGCATGCATAAACGCACACTAGGGCTGCAACTAATCACTGACCAATGTCAGGAGTCACTGAAACTTCAGGAGAGAATGCCTCTAGAACATGGCCATATAGCCCGAAAAAACCTGCAACAACCCAGAAATCTTGGTGTTTTTAAAAAATGTCATTGACAATATTCAATGAATATCAGTGTTACTCATACAACCACACTCTATTTGACACCAATTATCCCACTTGAAATCTCACTGCATACAAAATAAAATGTGAACAGCTAAGAAAGTAAAATGCTGTGAGTGGACTCAACTTTAAAAAACACATTAAATAATATATGCACAGAGAATGGAGTCACAAAGGGAGGAAAGTATAATTAGGAATAGGTGGTTATATAATATTAACATTATGCAGAAAACGAGAAATGAAACAATCAGGTCAGATAAAATTCTCATGAATAAACAAAAATATTTTGAATCTTCTAGTGTCCACTTGAAAGCTTCATTCCAAAAATAGCGTGTATTTTTATGATTTCTATCTGATAGCAAAACTTTAAAACCTATACTTTTTCAATATGAGAAAGATAATCCTCGTGTCCTTTTCCTTTCAGTTTTGTTCTTCACACATGCTCAGTAAATGATTCTAGAGTTAATTGTTTTACCTTGCTGGCTGTACCTAAGAACCCATAGTTGCGGTAGGATCACCAAAAGTAGCTTCCCATTCTTTCTTTATTGCATTGTTTACTGCAGACATCCTCATGAAACCCAATACTGAAAATCTTTTGTTCTCAACCCTCCTTAATCATCCTTCCAGTCACAATGGTGATAACAAAAACTTCTAGCTAGACAGAAGACAAAAACCGCAACATCAACAGCAACAAAACATGTGGAGATTGGGTTGGACTCCTGTAAAAGGAGTTTGTAAAAATAAGCTTCTTTGTTAGAGTTTGTATTAACTGTTCCACTCATCTTTCTTCACATGGACATCTGTTTAGCTGTATGTTCTGAACTAGTTAGGTCTGCAGCTTGATTCAGCATGGTTTAAAATTATACTGACCTCTTTAATATTATGTTGTGAAAAGAAACTCTAAACCAAGGAGGGGAAAACTTTGATGCTATCGATGTTTCTGACCTCAATCCCCATATTTCTTTATGATAAATCATGATGGGTGGTCCTGGAAGTTCAAAACATCTGGAAGATCAAAATTGTACAAACCTGCTCTAAATTAGAGGCTACTTGCATAACATCAGTCCCATTTTTGAGAGAGGCAAACAGATCCCAATTGCTCATTATCCCGTTAAAAGTTTGCATTCTATAGAAATGCAAAATGGAAAAAAAATGAATATATTAGAAATCTAACATCTAAAGGAAACAAATCTTCATAGTATGAAAAGTGGCTTTTTCTAATACTTCATATTTACATTATGGATACACAACTACAGAACAGACACGCAACAGGATTAAGCTGAACTGGCTTAGTGGCTGCAGTGTGCATACGATATCTAAAGAATCCACATTTGCTAGAAAGCTCTGGGTTTCCTTATTTTTAACTGGTGAAAAGAACTATTTCAAATACAGATGTGAAATTTAGGATACATGACACTAAATTCACCAATGATGTACTGATCTCATGTTAGATCCACTGGATTATACCGTCTGTTCCCTATTTCAAAATTGATAAGCTTCTCCATTTCCACTTTAACAAAGAAGTTGAAAGACAGAATACATCCTTTAAGAATTCTGTTTATAATCTGCTTTAATTCCAAGATGCTTCTTATGTCCAGGAATGGTACACACCCTCATTCATAAAACAGTACAGGTATTCAATTAAAGGAAGTCCCAAAGTTACAAACATTCGACTTACAAATGACTCATAGTAAAGAATGAGGGTGAGACAATAGGAAGTGAGAGAAATCTATGCCAAAGAAGGGAAATTCACTCCTGAAAGAGGTCATGGGGAAAAGGTGTCTCCACTGAAACTTTATCACTGATCCTTATTTCCAGAACAAATCAAATTTTTCAAAATCCAATTATCACAGGGACAGAAAGTGAGGTGAAATCTTCTGAACAAGGGCACAGAAGGGCAAACAAACATCACAGGGAATCTTAATCCTTCCTTGTGCTATCCAAAGCTTGGAGTTACACCTAAAAATGGACCTCTTCCAACTTACATAAAAAATTCAACTTAAGAACAAACTTACAGAACCTATCTTGTTCATAACTTGGAAACTGCCTGCATTTGAATGCTGAAATGCTCTTAAAATATTTTCTCTTATATTCTAGAGTGGCAAGGAAATCCTGTAAAACAGCAATAAAACTCTACATAAAAACACTACTAGTATTAGGCTAAAGAAATATATGGCATAAAAGCCTATGACATGTTCTGTTAATTCACTCAAACAGAGGATGTAACAACAAAAATCAAGAGGCCAGATTACAATTAATATTAATTAGCTATTCACATTGCTCCCTATATAGGTTTTCTGTTGCATATGGTAAACAAGGTGCAACTGGTACAATTTTTTTCTACTAGTATGTTGACCGGGACAAATGAAAAGTAAACATATAGTCACATTTACTCCACATCTGCTCGGGTTAGGGTTGCGGGACCCTAACAAAAGTGGAAAAACCATGGCAAAAAACTATTTTTATCTGAGAGAACACCTCTGTTGAAAATTTACCATAACAAGATGCTAGAAGACCTACAAATGCCTAGAAAACTGTTCTCTCTAGGAATCTCCGGGTTCTCCAGGGGGAAGTTGACCATAGAGTAGTGCTAGAGGACAGAGAAATTCCTAGAGAGAACATATTAATCAAATCTGCAAATAAACAAACACTGACTGTATAACTCCAGTTCTGAAATCTACAAAGCTAATTCAAGATTTCCATACAACTATACAAATCCCTAAATAATTCAGGACCATGATGTGAAGAATCTTCTTCACCAGTATTGACCAATGCAGGACTTAAGATGAACTGAGGAAGTTCTGCTCGTGCTGCCTATGGTTAATATTTTCTGCACGCCTGTCACATAAGGCACGATTTTTTTCAGTAGAAGCCCTCCAGCTCTGACCCTTGCTGTTGTAATTCAAGTGTGAGATAAAAATGCATTTGGTTTGAAAAAGCTTTTATGGGATATCAAATGCCTCATTTATTTTGCTGCTGACTTTTTATAATACATGATTTTAGAACTCTATTTTAATTGTGTTTGTATGTTGTGCTGCATTCTGTGTTGATTGTTGGCCATCCTCAACTCTTTGTGAGGAATGGTAAGATATCTACCAATATAAATATAAATACATCAATTTATAAATATACCTGGATAAGGATCATACTAGATTACTTATGTAAACAAAGTGTGTTAACATAATTATAGATAGAATATCTAATTCAAGGGGTATATAAATGACAAAAGATTTGTTGGTTAATGAATGCAGTCATACCTCAGTAAGAGCATGCAATTGTCCTTGATGTACACAGACACCCATAAACCTGAAAAGCAAGAGCAAATTGCCTTATAAATGAGAAACAGAGAGTGCATTTTATCAACATTAAAACAGACTGTAATTATATTTGGAACTTATATTTTGGTTACAGCTCTAAAAGCTAGACTCAAGTAATTCACATGGCAGGAGATCAGAAGAATTTATTTATTGTATTGCATAAAATACAAAGATAAAACATAATTTCTATTTCTTATGTAAAATAATAATACATAGCTTCCCTCTAGTTATAGTATATTAACCTGAACAATGTAATTGAGCATTAGGAGTAAATTTCAAACTCTGCCTATCCACAGATAGATAGATAGATAGATAGATAGATAGATAGATAGATAGATAGATAGATAGATAGATGTGGTTAACAGATACAACTTTTCACAATTGTTATGCAGTACTATTACAGTGTGGGGCAGAGGAAACAGTACAATTGTCTTTATGTTGAAAATAGAGATATAGTAAAATGCCTGTTTGGCATCAACTTGGTAATTCATTCAGGCAATATTGACAACATATACGGTATTCAGTTTTTATATCTGAAACATCTATCCTTTCATAAACTTGCAAATATTATCAGTATTTGCATAAACAAGGATGTTTATAAAACATCATATATTATACAGCTATGAAGAACTTATGCTGCAGCTTAAGAAGCGGCTATAAACAGAAAATCAATAACTTGCAGCCAAAAGCATACATCCATTTGAATTAAGCATGTATGCAACGTAACAAAATGAAGTATAAATATGACAGTAAAGGAGTAAACCTATTAACTATAAGATAAGGATTCTACATACCCCCCAAAATGCTTAAATGAATATCCAATTGCTTATATATCATCTTGTAACTGGAAGAAATGGTTTAATATTTAACATGATTCTTGGGGAACTGTCTTTGAAGAACATTACATAGTTTCATAATTAGAAATAATGGATAAGCTTAATGTTTAGTAAGGAAAAAATAAATTCTGGGACTTTTTTTAGCATAAACAGAAGTGAAACTACACCATTTCAAAAATACAGATCACAAGAAATACAGCAATTGGAATTCTAAAGAACTGAGTAATGGAAATAGCACTCTATTTTATCTCAAATGCTACTTTATATGTTTGAATTCATACAAATAGAGGGGAAAAATACTGTATGCTATTTTCAGTGAATTAATGATTATTTCATTTAATTGTGGGTCGCAGCCATTGCAACTTGGATCCATGAAGAAGCAGACAAAATATATAGTTTAGGGGGAAATTAAATGGAGCTAGTCTTGCCACCTTGTCTCTCTCCTGAGGAATCTGTACAAGGACCAAGTAGCAACAGTAAGAACTGATCACGGAACAACAGACTGGTTCAAGATTGGGAAAGGCGTACGGCAAGGCTGCATACTCTCAGCCAACCTTTTAAACTTGTATGCAGAACACATCACGCGATGTGCGGGGCTTGATGAATGCAAAGCTGGGGTGAAAATTGCTGGAAGAAACATTAACAACCTCTGATATGCAGATGACACCACTCTGATGGCCGAAAGCGAGGAGGAGCTGAGGAGCCTTCTAATCAAGGTGAAAGAAGAAAGCGCAAAATCTGGGTTGCAGCTAAACATCAAAAAAACCAAGATCATGGCAACAAGAATGATTGACAACTGGAAAACAGAGGGAGAAAATGTGGAGGCCGTGACAAACTTTGTATTTCTAGGTGCAAAGATTACTGCAGATGCAGACTTGTGGCCAGGAAATCAGAAGACGCTTACTTCTTGGGAGGAGAATTATAGAATCATAGAATCAAAGAGTTGGAAGAGACCTCATGGGCCATCCAGTCCAACCCCCTGCCAAGAAGCAGGAATATTGCATTCAAATCACCCCTGACAAATGGCCATCCAGCCTCTGCTTAAAAGCTTCCAAAGAAGGAGCCTCCACCACACTCCGGGGCAGAGAGTTCCACTGCTGAACGGCTCTCACAGTCAGGAAGTTCTTCCTAATGTTCAGATGGAATCTCCTCTCTTGTAGTTTGAAGCCATTGTTCCTCGTCCTAGTCTCCAAGGAAGCAGAAAACAAGCTTGCTCCCTCCTCCCTGTGGCTTCCTCTCACATATTTATGAGCAATGTCCAATCTCAATAAAATAGTAAAGAGTAGAGACATCACACTGGCAACAAAGATCCTGGAGGGAAGGACACTAGAGACAAAGTTGAAATACTTTGGCCACATCATGAGGAGACAGCAAAGCCTAGAGAAGACAATTATGCTGGGGAAAGTGGAAGGTAAAAGGAAGAGGGGCCGACCAAGGGCAAGATGGATGGATGGCATCCTTGAAGTGACTGGACTGACCTTGAAGGAGCTGGGGGTGGTGACGGCCGACAGGGAGCTCTGGCGTGGGCTGGTCCATGAGGTCACGAAGAGTCGGAGACGACTGAACGAATGAACAACAAAGTCTTGCCTGAGCTCCAGTACTTAAAAGTTAAAGTATGTCTTAAAACAGACCAAAGAGCAAAGATGGGAAGCTATCTGGGCCATTTTAGTACAAAATTATTAATACCTCTGCTTGCGCCTACATTTCCTTCCTTCTCCAGCCATATAAGAAAAGCTATGATCTGGTAGCTTAGCCTCTTGTGCTCCTACTCACCTCCTGAGCAGAACTTCCCCAGCCCTTCCCAAACTTTCTAGGTTTAGGGATAACGATACATTGAGATCTTGACTCACTATCTAAATAAACTCAAACCAACATTTATAGATCCCATTTCTGATTACAATTCAAACTGTCATTTGGATGTTTTGTGTACACATTTATGCCAACACAAAACATAGTTACCTTTAAATCTGAAAACCATGCAAGAATAGCAGGAAACTGAGAGATAGTGTGAAGGATATTTCCCGCGGTCACTCCAACAGAATCCTATGATAATATAGCAAGGTATATATACAACCACACAAAACGCACAGAGAAATGTGCAAATCATGGTCCAGGTATTCTATCTACGTTTCTGCACCAGGTCATTTCTGTATTCAAAAGCTTCTGGGTGGATCAGATTCAATGCATCTGCAATCTTATTCTCCAGAGCAGGAAGAATCCTTGATTTCATCTAGTAATTTTAGCCACTTGACAGCTAACTCTTTATCTAAAACATGTAGATAATGCCAGAGTACCAGCATTAATCCACGCTCTTCAGAGAACAAGACGACTCAAGTGTTAAACATAAGGTGCCCAAAATGCAGCTGGTTCAGAACTTGGTCACCGTGTCATTAACCAGATCTATCACAGTGAATATTTCGACAATATTAAAACATTTTTATAGGCTTCCAGCTTGTTTCTAAGCACAATTCAAATTGATTTTGGATCTATAGAGAAATAAACAACTTTTCTAGAGTAATTTAAGTCTAAACTTACTATTATTTATTTATTCATTTATTTCAAACATTTGTATGCCGTCCTTCTCAACCCCCGAAGGAGGACTCAGGGTGGCTTACAACCAGCACAATTTGATGCTCACACATAAAAACAGCATAAAACATGACATTACATAAGAGGTAAAAACATTAGTTTAAAAAGAAAAATCCATTTAAAACAATATTATTAACTAAATAGTCGTATCTGAATCTGATTCAGCAACCAAAACATTGTGATTGCTGTCAGCCTGCTACCGGAATGCCTGGTCCCAAAACCATGTTTTGAGTTTTTCCTGAAGGAAAGGAAGGATGCAGTTGACCTAATTTCACTGGGGAGCGTGTTCCACAGGTGGGAGGCCACCACCAAGAAGGCCCTGTCTCTCAACCCCACCAAGTGCATTTGTAAAGAAGGAGGGATCGAGAGCAGGGATGATCTTAGACTCCGAGGCAGGATGTAGAGTGAGATATGTTTGGACAAGTAAGCTGGGCCAGAACTATATAGGGTTTGATAGGCCAAGATCAGCACTTTGAATTGTGCTTGGAGATGGACTGGCAGCCAGTGGAGTTGACACAACGGGGGGGGGGGGGGGGGGGGGGGGTGATATGCTCCCTGTATGTCGCTCCAGTGAGTAATCTGGCTACTTCCCATTGGACTTGTTGGAATTTCCAAACAGTCTTCAAAGGCAATCCCACGTAGAGTGTGTTGCAGTAATCTATTTGGAATGCAACAAGGGCATGGACCACCGTGGCCAGATCAGACTTCCCAAGGTATGGCCACACTGGCACACTAGCTTTAACTGTGCAAAAGCTCCCCTAGCCACCACCAAGACCTGGGGTCCCAGGCTCAGCAATCAATCCAGGATCACTGCCAAGCTGCGAACCTGAGTCTTCAGGGGGGGTGTAACCCCATCCAACACAGATACAACTTTTGTAACCCTATGCTTTGTTCGGCCTTTCGACTTGTACTAATTATTTAGTTAACAAAACACAGCAATTTAAGGATTACTCCTATCACAATTATTTATTAATTAAAATATTACAGTTTTAAAGTTTGAATTTGTATTCTCAAACTGGTTGAATGCTTTGAATCTCTCAGTTTTACTATTAGTGTTTAGAGTTAAGTTTTATCATTTTGAACATCAGTGTTAATGCATGCCAGCCTGAACTCTTATCTGAGTTAAGTTACAGTATATACATTTTAACACAAAGGATATCCTGGTAAACTTCTGATAAAACCCATGTACAAAAAGCTTCATTAGAAGCCTTCTTCTATATACTTCCACTGAGATCAGGAAAAATCGCATGTGGAGATAATGTGTTCACTAAGGGGGATGGAATGTTCATCCCAAGGATAAGGTAATAGAATCTCTCTTTTGATCTTAGATGACACTTTAAAAATTACTTTCCTGGATTTTAGAGTGTTTCCCACAGTAAGATGAAGAATGTCTGCTGCTTGATTGATAGCTTTACTTGTATTGTTTATACAAATGCAGGAGAGCTAGGTGCAATAGAAAATCATCCCCTGGCTCCTGCACTGTTGCCCAACACTCCTATCCTAGCTAGAGATCTATCGTATTACCAGATGGTAATATGATTGGTTAACTTTTAAGTAGTAACCAGGTCGAACTGTACTCCAGCTTCCGAAATCAAACAAGACCAGGTTTGTTCACAGTATCTTAATTTAAAGTGCTTTTTTTTAAAAACCCACATCCTATTGTGATAGTTCTTTTTTAAAACACAGAAAGGCACAGATAAAACAGATTTTTCTCAAATCCTAAGTGTTTTCAATGGCGTTTGCTGAAAGTGCTGAATCACAAAGGTTGTATTTTTCCTACTGTACTGGTTGTTATTTCACTGAAGAAGAACTGACACATGATACTGCTTCCTCAATTCGTATTTTTTTACTGATTGAACAAAAACAGATAAAACAAAAACTTTAAAGAAGCCACATTTAGAAACACTTGTTTATATCTGCCTTGATAAGTTAAGTTTAATCAGCAACATAATAGACATATTTACTGAGCATAAAGCAACACTAAAATGCTCTTCTGCAGACTCCTAAGCTACAAAGTGAACACTGAATTAGTTTTTGTAAAGGAAATTTGAAAAGTTTATTAAAACTAAGATTTCTTACATGAAAAATACTAAGTGCTAGTCAAAAATGGTTATATTTGAAAGAATGGGGGAAAATATACATCATCAGTACATTAACAGAATTTTGAAATCTGAATCTGAGCATGATCAGGGGCATTGTCAAGGACTATGGATTATAGAGTATGTTATCACTTCAATTTCAAGGAAAATAAAATATATGATAGAATAATATTTATTTTTCCCTATTACTGAAAAAGCATGCTGTTCTTTCTACTCTAATTCCAATTCACTGGCGGAAAGACAACAGAGATCCTAAACTTCTATAGTGCCCTAAAGATGGTATGGTTTGGTTTGCTCTGTGCTGGAACAGAGGCTTCAATTATGTAGTGACTGCCTTGTTTAGGTTTCTGACTATGGGAAAGTGTTTATGCCCAGACAATCCTATTTATGAATATTTTCAAACTTTTCAAATTCCACATGCAATGCTCCAAAAGGGAGCCTGCATGTGCAAGTTCACTGTGTGCTTCATCTTCCATTTCTAGCATGGATATTCAGATAAACACATTAACAAAGCTATGCATAATTTTCCTGCTTCTTGGCAGGGGGGTTGGACTGGATGGCCCATGAGGTCTCTTCCAACTCAATGATTCTATGGTTCTATGAATAAGCTACATCACCAAATATGAAGATGTTCACAATATGCATGGGTTATGTACTTAACAAATTGGGAATATAATACTTAATCAACAATCAAGAAGACAGAAAACAAGTTAGAAGTATGGTGCAGCTAAACAGGAAAGGATTACGAAACACAGAAAAGTCAGGAGTGACTCGAGAAACTGCAAGTAGCTTCTGGTGTAAGAGAATTGCCCAGGGGACATCCGGATGTTTGATGTTTTACCATCCTTGTGGGAGGCTTCTCTCATGAAGGCCATAAAGAAGCTACAAATTGAAACTCAGTAAAATTGATGTCTTAACTCTCAAGAGACACTTGCTTACACATATGACCCACACCAAATGATGACTGACTGCAATGAGTGGCAGATAAAAACATGATCTGTACTGTCACATACAAATGCTCACATACACTCTCACATACACACACCTTTCTTACTTTAGTATGTTTGGATGTGAAAGCCTGTTCATGAGCTGGACTTCTTTTAGCATGTTTGCACGGTTGCTACTTAGTGTATTCATCTTCAAAGCCATTACTTGATCAGATACCTTGTGCCGTACCTATAGAATAAACCCAAGAAACCATTAGTACAGTGGAACACAAGAACAGCATTCAGTTATTATATTTCCTAATATGCAACCTGGCTGAATACAATAGCTTATAAAAACTGACAGATATGCAACTTATTCTACTTCAACATTTATACAGGCAAATAAGGTGACATGCTAAAGGTTTGGAACATTTCATTAAAAAACATCTCTAAGATTAATTTCACAGAGCATTCACTTTTATGCACATTTTTTAAAAGAAACCTATTTTCCACCTTTTTTGCTTTCTTTTTTTGAAGAGAGGATGGAATGAGGTTTCTATTTTCAAAAGAATGTTGGTAAACACAGCCAGATGTCAAGTAGATAACTGTATACATATAGTCATCTATAAGTTGATAAATCGAAGGCACGTTGGGGGCCAAAATATATGTTTTGATATGATCCATGGATAAGTCAAGGGTCATTGCATGGAGGGGGGAAAGCCACTGACCATCAGTCTTTTGTTCCTCTAGCTAGAGAAGGGGATGGTTCCTTCTTTTTTTTTTTTACAAGAGGTATGCTACAATATTTCTACTGACCCCTAGAAAAGTCCACCCAGTTTTGGGAAGTTGATTTTTGACTAAAATGTCTACATTAATATAAACAGTAATAAAAAGGATATGTGTGTTACCTCCAGCGATATATCTAAAAGTGTTCCTGCAATAAAAGACATTACTATCAGGAGGCCAATGTGAGGAGACCTTTGTTCTACCTTATGACGATAAACAGTGCTTTTTGGAATGCAGGCAAGATGCAAGCTTTTGCACTGGAGGTACAAGTTCTGTCAGTAGTGTCATACTCCACACTAAGTTTAGAATAATGATTATGTTTGGAAAAAGAAAAACAACAACAAGAGATTTAGTCACTGTGGACAGATTGGTTTAACTCTTGTCATTCTGTTTTAATGTTTCTGTATCATAATACTACTGAATTGTTTTTAAAATGCCAACCAACGCCAAACAAAATATTGAAGAAGAATCTGAACATATATTTTTATTCATCACAAAAGAAATCTCTGCTGAAGACATCTGTCATCTATAGAAGCAAGAAAAGGCAAATACATGAATATAAATTATACATTAGGATTTCTACCCACCACTCCCATACACATACACCAAGTTTCAAGGGAGAAGTTGATAACAGATAACACTGATATTTGTTAATAAGACTTTTATGATATAGGCCCGCAACCCTTTGGCCAATGGCTACTAAAATCAGTGTAATATGCATTTAAGTAAATCTGTTTAATTTCACACTAAAATAATATTTTTTTCCTGAAAGCATTTAATGGGTTCCATCTACCCAATTCATAGTGACCTATGACTGATGATTATTCAAAAACATAATTATCCATATTCAAAACATAATTATCCATATTATTTTATTCCTGTAGAGAACTAGTGGCATTTGAGGTGACTTAGTATTTTGCCAACAAAATTTGTGCTGTGATCAGCATATAATTTCTAAGTACTGGTATTTGTTTTGCAATGTAGCTAAGAGGTACAGCTGAAGGATCTAGTTGTAATTAAAAACCTGTCATTGTCTTTACACTGTTCAGCACCTTATTCCAATATTATCTGATCAAAGAGCAATACTGGCCTATGCAAGTGGATGCTCCATTCCTCATTTAGCAATGTCAACCAAGATCAGCTGTTGCATACCAAGTATTATTTAGCATTGTGGTTATGAGTAGGACTGTTCATTAGATTTTACATCAAGCCAAATAAGCCTTCATAAACTAAAGGACCTTTATATGATTCCCCAACAATGCATGAATCACTTGTTTCTTATCTGAAAGGCATTTTTGAGAAGGGCTGCACTGTGTGTTCTAGTAATTTGATTTTGAGATTGAAAGCAGTAATTTCCACAAAAGATAAATATTTTCTTTAAAGATCATGCATTTATTTTCTCTGTTTGTTCACTACAAGTTTCTTATTTGCTGTTCCACTGCAATTTTGTCTTCATCTATATAAGATTTACTTCTTGGAGTACTTGCATCCCAGTCAAACGGGGTTTACAAAGGGCAAATCTGTTGTTACGGCCCCCTAACACAGAAAGAATCATGCAGTCCTCCAGATGTGGTTGGACTGCAACACCATGAGCCTTAGCTAGCATAGCCAATGATGAGGATTGCAAGAGGTTGCGATCCAAAATATATCCAGGACCTCATTATTCCCATCCCTGAATGGGAATATAACTCCAACCTTTTCTAGACAGAACAGTCACTCACAGGCAAAAACATCTGAAAGAGGGTGATGTTTCTAAAACAAACAAACACATCAATTTCAACCTTAAAAAATCTAGGATGAACTGCTAAAAATGTACTGATGGAATTGTGCCTCTTCCTATAATACAACTGCCACAATCAAATAACAGAAGATTAGACAAAAGACTGAAAAGCTTCCTGTATAATTAAATGTTCATTAGAACAGGGAGTTGGACTCAATGGCCCATGAATCCACCCCCCTTTCAACTGTATGACTCTATGACGAGTCATTTACCAATCTTGGAAACTCAGCAAATAAGTTGTCATACTCTAGAGCACAGCTTTCCAAACTTTTCATGTTGATGACACACTTTTTAGACATTATTATTATATTCATTTATACCGCTTTTTTCTCCACAAAGGAGACTCAAAGCGACTCACAATAAAAGCATTTCAATACAATTTAAAATCTACAAATCTACAAACATTAAAACAGAATTAAAAATAAATGTTATTAAATCATTTATAGTTAAAATCCAAAAAACTGATGAAAAACATAGTCAAAGCTAAAACCACAGTACCCCTGACTTGATCTTTAAAACCTTCTTCTTTAAAAACCTGCCTGAATAAAATGGTTTTAGTGTGCCGACAGGACAACAGGGAGGGGGGCATTCTGGCTTCCCTAGGCAGGGAGTTCCAGAGTTGAGGGGCAGTCACTGAAAATGCCACTGTCTTGTTCCCACCAACCAAGCTTGCAATTGTGGTGGGACTGAGAGAACAGCCTTTCCTGAAGACCTCATGGACTGGGCAGGCTTATTCAAGGAGATGTAGTCAGCCAAATAGCCTGGGCCTGAGCTGTATATATGTATCCTTTCATGACACAATAATTCAGTTTAACTAGCAATCCAGAGGTTAAACCAACCCCTTATAAGAGTTTCATTAGAGAGTTATATATAACATATTATATAGTTTTATATAATATATCTAACATAATATTTATGTTTCATATACTGTATAAACAAAGTTTGGACATTTTTCCTTTACACTTATGTATTATGTATTACAGTTGATTCCTGAAACGTGCCAAGAGGAAGGCACGTCAAGCCAACCCCGACCGAGACCGCCTTCTACCTGGAAACCAATGCCCTCACTGCAGGAGAAGATTCAGATCAAGAATAGGGCTCCACAGTCACCTACGGACCCACCAAAATACTGATCCTGGAAGACTATCCTACTTGGCCAACGAGGGATCACCTAAGTAAGTAAGTAAGTAAAGTAAGTAAGTTCCCTCTATAACAGGCATGGGCAAACTTCACCCCCAGATGTTCTGGACTTCAACTACCACAATTCCTAACAGATGGTAAGCTAGCTGGGATTTCTGGGAATTAAAGCCCAAAACACTGGAAGGGCCAACGTTTGTGCATGCCTGCTCTATAGTCTTTCCATGGGGTTCATCGCAAAGATCATTCCTAACACATTTACTTTTCTTAATTAGAAACGTATTGATTTTAGAGGTAATTACTGCAACTCAATCAAACTGTGCAAATCAGAAAAAAGTATATCAGTACCTACACTTGAACAGCACCAGCACTCCATTTCTGTAGCAATTGAACCTCTCTGGACATTTTTAAGTGGAGTTTAGATGGTGGACTGCAGGCGACATACTAGTGTGTCCCGATACACAGTTTGAAAAGTTCTGCTCTAGAGTCTAGCCTCATTAACTAAAATTGGTGTCAAGAGTAAATAATAAATAAATAAATAAATAAATAAATAAATAAAGACTCTGCCACAAGCCACTAAAGGTGGTTCCAGTGGTGACTGGCCCACTGGGTGCAGTGCCTAAACACCTTGGCCTGCTCTTAAACACAATCAGCGCTGACAAAATTACCATCTGTCAGCTGCTAAAGACGACCCTACTGGGATTTGCATGTGTTATTCACCGATACATCACACAGTCCTCGACACTTGGGAAGTGTCCGACATGTGATTCAATACAACAGCCAGCAGAGTGACCCTGTTTTCTGTGTACCAATCTTTTTTTGTTTCAGGTAATAATAACAACAACAACCACTTTAGGGACTCAGAGTGGTTTCCAACAAAAGGTGACAAACATTAAATGCCATAATAATATCCAAGAACTGCTTGCCTATTGGTAAAAAAAGGATTATATCCAGCATTCTGCTTCCTCACTTAGATTTCCCTACCCTTTTATCCCACCTTATTCCCCAATAATTCCAGAAAAACTTATAAGGATTGGAGAATTCACAGCAAAGGTTTGGGATAACATGGAAGGGGTCCAAAATCAGACCAAAACAGCTTGCAAAGGAAGAAATAATAGACTTCCATTTACACAACTCTTAATCCAAATTACCGTACTTGGAATGATTTTTGACATAAGAACATGAGAATACTACTAATGCTAATACTGTATGTTCTTGTTTGACTCTTAGAAGACTTGTATTTAGCTTCTACAAACTCAACTATAAAGTCATGACACAAGAACAGTATATGCATCTAACCGTGAAATAAATCAATTTTATTCTTAGATAAAGAATTTCTACTGGAATCCTATACAATGTTCCCTTGCTGCTTCGCAGTTCGCTAACTGCAGACTCGCTGTTTTGCAGCTTTTCAAAAAAATTAATTTAAAATACAAGTAGCGAGAGAACAACCAGGTGAGAGCCCCATGCCAGTGGGGAAGCAGGGAGGGAGGGAGGCTCCAGCAAGGGGAGGGGGGAGGCAGGGGGAAAGAGGAGAGGAAGAGAGAGAGAAAGGAGGGGGAGAGAGGAGTGGCCAGAGCTTTAGTGTACATATAAAGTATAGTGTCCCTACATTGCGGTTTTTCACTAATCGCGGGGGTTCCTGAAACGGAACCCCAGCAATAGGTGAGGGAACACTGTACTTCTTAAAGCAAATGTTCCAATATATTCTGTTAAGAAGTACAAGGCTGCATATAATGATAATTCGTGGTCTATAACATAAACATGTAATTACAGAACAATCCCTTTGGGGGAAATCCTAAAATCAATGTCTATTAAAGAAATCTACCCTGGCGGCAACATTAGCCATGTCTGGAAAAGCCACAATTTTTCACACTAAATCAAGTAGCATTAGAAGTTTGTTACACTTATATAAGTCAGTGAGAATGTTAAAACAGAGACAGAACCTGTAAATGACATCAGGAACCATGAAAGCAATAATAGAACAACCCTGAAAGGAAGAAAATTACTTTCTTTATGAAAAAATAAAGCAGACACTAAAATACATTAATGGAAAACAAAAACATTTCTTCTGTATTGCATGGGACTCAGATCAACCTGACACTAGTTTACACTAAAATCAATGGAACTTGCATTAAGTCATTAAATTCATATATATTACATTACATTCAGTGAACTTCATGTGGATCCAATCCAATGACTAACACAATAGAAAATTTAAGACAAATTTAGCCCCACTTTAAAGTGAACTGGAGAAGAGGAAACTGTATACTTCAAGTTTTGTGAGTCAACTGAGATGAGCTTGCATAAGCAGCATGCAAAAACCTTTGGCTGTAATAGCCTCATGCTCCAACTGCCGAAATAAGTAAAACCACCTCCTTATCCCATCCCCCATTAACAGTTATGAAGCAAATATTATTGCATGAAGCAAGGCTGCCAGGCTGCCAATCTGTCCCCCCCCCCCCCCAAAAAAAAGTAAACAGAAACTGGACAAAAGCAAAGAACACACAATATAGTTCACAGTTATTTTGTAGGTCAAGTTCAACTCATGATTCTATCATAAATTAGAGTCACTGTATTCTTCATATACTGTACTATAGTTTTTCCTCTAAAACCACGCTACTATATAACCCAATACCTGCCATTTCCCTAACTATTTAAATTTACCCCATGTTCTCTAAATTATACAATTAAAATGGCAAAGCAAAATGCCAGCAAAAATCTACTTGAGCAATGTGACCCTTTCCCTCTCTCATCTCCTCATCCTCTGTAGTTCTTTGTACTGCACCCTGGAAGGTTTCCCAGCCCTTCAAAAAAGTTTTTTTTTTTTTTTGGTCTGGAAAGGGGCTCTGGGAAAGAAGGGAACCACCCTCTTCTGATTCCTCTAATATAAATGCTGCAATATTTGGTCCAAGCAGATGTTTTTTTACATCACTTCTAAAAAAAATATGCTTTAAAGTGGTTCAGTCCTAGAGAACCAACTCCAATTTAAGTAAAAAAGAATGCACTTTTCTAACCCACCCAACTGCTGTTGTGGAGCAGTTTTCTGAGAAGCTTGTACTCTATTCAGGCAGAACGACTTCTTCCTACCTATTACTAAATATTTAAGATTTCATTTGCTTTTATCTTGGGAAGATCACATTAAGAATCATCATTTACAGCCCAGTAAGTAGTGCATGGATTTCCAAGACAGATGTACTCTTTCGGGCATGTAAAGCTCACTTCATGTCTTCATATCTGCTACAATCATTCAGCAGCTGCTGTTTTATCCTTCCTTTTAATTTATTTCTGTTATATCTTTAGCTATTCTAAATCCTCTGTAAATTCAGCATTCTTCCTTTCCCATCCTTGTCCCTCGTTCAGAAGACCAAAAATGTGGTTTCTGCAACGTATTTCCCACAACTCATCTAGATATGTAACAAGAAGCACAAATATAACTCTGTAAAATGTCTATACTCTTTCCAGGGAAAATTATACAGGAACCAAAGAGTTTGCTGCTCCAAACAACAAACCTCCTCTATCAAATACATTAGCAGAAGAAGATTAGAAAGGAAAGGACATAGTTATAATTCTCAATTAAAACAATATATTTTTTATTTTAAATAAATGTGATTTTAAATGAATGTTTTAATAATTAATGTTTTAACTAACCGTTTTAACTTTAATTGTTATTTGTAAATTTGTTTAATGGCATCGAATAGTTGTCTGTTGTGAAGTTGCCCTGAGTCCCCCCTTGGGGGTGAGAAAAATATTAATATTTTTAATACTGGTAGCCGGATTTTGTTCATTTTCGTGGTTTTCTCCTTTCTTTGGGCAATTTCAACAGAAAGGAGGAAACAAAAAAAATGAACAAAATCTGGCTACCAGTATTTAAAAACTTTAAAATCAGGACAGTAGATAAAGAACAATACTCAGAAAACAGGGGAATTCCAGACAGGAAACAATCAGGGCCAGCTAACACCTCCCAACAAAGGATTCCCCCTAGGCAGGAAGCAGCCAGGCTTTGAAGCTGCCAGGCTGTTAAATACTAATCAAGGTGGTGAATTGCAACATTCACACTTGCCTCAAAAAGACAAGAGTAATTTCTCCCACCCTGGACATTCCACAGATATATGAACCCCACTTGCCTAGTTTCCTCACACCCTATGAGGATGCCTGCCATAGATGTGGGCAAAACATCTGGAAGAATGCTTCTGGAACATGGCCATACAGTCCCGGAAAACTCAAAGCAACCCAATAATAATGCTTTCTAGTCGCATACTGTAAGGAAAGGGATTCCTGTTTGGATCTGGAAAATGAAATGATTTTTTGTGCATTAAATCCCTAATATGGCTTGTTATTTTAATATGGAAAGATCTTAATACAAAACTGAAAGCAGAAGGAGCCTCACACATAGATGTGTGTGTGTGTTGCTGGATATAATTCTGCTGAACACAAATTGGATTTCCCACATGGCCTACACTATCATGAGTATGACCCAGATCATCCAGAATCAGAAACATATGGAAAACAATTGACTGTTCTCAACATTTGTTTTTCTTTGAAACAAGCCCAGCAAAAGGCAGCTCTTTCAGTTCAAGTGTTAGAGGCCCTGAAAACTTAAAATCTCTTCATATTGCCATACTATCTGCATTTAAACTGCATATGAAGTTATTTATCTTACACATTACCAAAAGAACAAGATAAATATCAATAGTACAGAAGTTGGCTGTATCGAAATTTAGTTTAAGCCAAACATCAAACCTTTAGTGCTTATTGTTCCGGCTGAATCAAGATGATTTGTGTCACAAAAAATGTAACTACAGCACCAAGAAATTAAAATATTAAAAAATAAAATTCAGGATTATTAAATCCTATATATAAACGGTAAAACTCTTTCTTCGCTATTTTTCAATATCCTCTCTGAAAGTACACTGGTGAAAATCAAAAAACACAAGACACTTTGTTAAAACAGCAGCCTCCTTAGAAGGCAAGAGTGCAGTTACACAACAAAATACTTCTTATTGTACCTTGATTTTTCCAATAACAGTTTTTCAGGTGACAAATAAATAATTCAAAGCATTTGAAATCCCTCTCATGGAGTAATTGTAGGCAGAGATTATATCACTATAATCATTCAATGAAAAATAAGGAACAACTCTTAAAATTAGCAACCCACCTTGAACACCTCAGAGAAGAAACCAGATCCTATTTTCTCACAGGAAAAGTCATCAAGCCGTGTAAGTCTTGAAAAGGCACTTATCAAGGCCTTGTATGAAGAAGTCCAGACTCTGCCCATCTGAGACACAGCCCCATCACCTCCACCACCATCAAAGTCTTCAAGACGTTCCAAGCGCGGTGGAAATCCTGCTATTGAATTTCGCTTACTCCGATCCATCTTGCAAACAATATGGCTCCTTTAGAAAGGAGAGGATCTCTCACATCCTAGGTGTTCAATTTGTTTTTCTTCTCTCTGGTTGGATACTAAAAACAAAGGATAAATAGTTGAACTATTTTCTTTTGTGTCATCTCTCTCACTTCAACCCCACAAATCATAACATGGGGAGGGGTAGTGGGAAAAAATGTTACAGTAATTCATTTCACACAATCAGCATTTAATAAGAAGTGGATCTAGGACCCTGGTTCCAAATGTTGGGCACATGTCCCATAGAGGGGCAATTTGATTTTTATTGGGGAAATTCAAGAATGGGTTATTAACAGTTAATTTCATGCATTTCTTATGATCCTAGAAGCCTCATATACAGTATATAAATATATATTGTGACATACACATTTAAAAAATTAAAATCAGAATGTACATGGTGGTGGTGGGGGGGAGGTTTTTTAGGTGGGGCATGGCAAAAAAAAAGGTTGGAAACTACTGGCCTAAAACAATGCTCCTCGGGTTATCTGATATGGGAGACTAGCAATTTTTTTTCAATTTGTCAAAGACCAGCACTATAGTTGCACTCACTGGGAACAACTTCTCTCCCCCCCCCCCCCCAAATACTTGTCATGGACCAGTAGCTCAAGGGCTTGCATCAGTCCAGGGACCATCATTTTGAGCAGTAGAGGTCTTGGAGCTCAAAATGTTAGGGTATCCTTTTCCTCATAGAGCTCAAAATCATTTGAAGGCAAACTGCTTAGTAAATAGTTGTGTGTCTGTCTGTAAAACCAAATTAGCATGGGTGGTATTTCTTCTCTATGGCTTAGAACAGTGCTTGTTAAGCCACCTGATATAGAGAAATAGCAAGGGCTTTTCCCTTCAATGTGCCAGAAACTAGCACTATATTTGTGCTGACTAGCTACAACTGCACCATTCTATCCTGGATACTTTCCACAGCCTAGGAGTCAATGGCTCATGGACTGGCACCAGTCTACAGAATACCATTTGAGAAGCATGCTGGTTTAGAGAATATAGATTGAGACACAAGTATATGCTGAGCTAGGAAAGAACTGATGCTCTAAAAGCTTCCCTGTACCTCTGAAGCAGACTGAGTTTCTTATTACAAACTAGGCTAGCAATCATGAAATTCTCCATACATTGCTGGACTAAAAGTACCAGTACTTCTGGCCAGGATAGTCAACACTAGGAGCTACAGTCAACTGAAAGGTCACATGATTCAAACCCCAAAACAAATATTATAGTACTATAAAAATATAAGAAACCCTGATAGGATACATTATGGCAAACAAATTTCTAATATCTTCTATGTAAAATAGAGATAATTTAGAATGAAATAAGTATTACAGCCTACACTTCAACAAGCATTCAAAACTCTGCTCATAACTATACATTTATTTCTATACAAACAACTCACAGTTAAGAACAGCAAATAAACATGGCAGAGGTGTTAACCCTTCCCTATGGTCTCCAAAACTAATGTACCTGTTCTGACTTACCTACAAATTCAACTTAAGAACCTACAGAATCTATCTTGTTCATAACTTGGGGACTGTCTGTACTTCAAGCTAAATCAACATGGACAGCTGTAGAAGATTAGGGGACCTATTTTAACCCCCTTGGCAAACTGCAAACTGTAATTTTCAGCTATTTATTTATCATGTCAGAAGCGAATTGAGAATAGAGTTATAATGTATAAAAAACCACAAACAAAGTTAAAAACTCGGCATTATACTAAATTTTCTTTGACCAGAAGCTGGCCACTTCGAGTGCTTCTGGTGTCGCCACATGCACAGTGCATTCCATGGTACCAGAGCACAGTGCCTTCTAAACTGCCCAGTCTTCTATGTGCACAGAAAGGAGTTTCTTATCTGCTATCAGCCACTGATTGAGGTTACAGATTTTAGCTTGCCATTTTTGGAATCTTGCTTGCTGAGGTGTTCCTGCAAGTATCTCTGTAGATCTTAGAAAGCTATTTCTTGATTTAAAACACTGGCATGCTGGCTGAAATCTGTACAGAAGATGGGCCGGAGATATCAATGCCTTGGTTTTCATTACTGGCTTCTATTTCCTGACAGATATGAGGTGGTGCAATACCAGCTAAACAGTATAATTTCTCCAGTTGAAAATTTCTAAAAGTCATTTTGGTTGTAACTTTCAAGTTTCTCAGGTGGAGAGGAAAGCTGGGAAAATTAAAGTCAACCGGCTACTCCTAGAGGCCTCGAAGAACAATGATTGACTGTTTCTACATGACACCCCAACATTAACAAACTGGGTGGTCCAAGCAAGTCCAGAGATTTTCAGGGATACTTGGGAAAGTCTTTGAACAACTGTTTTCATCACAATACAGACAAGTTTGAACACATTCACAGTTGAATAGAGAAGTTTTTTTTTTTTAGAAAATATACTATTCTTTATACTTCCCTAAGAATAAGAACAACCATTTATTCAAAATGCTTCCTGTTTAGCTAGTAAATAGTCACATATTCTTTATAGGCCACGAGAGCAAATGAGATATCAAGCCCTCCACAATATCTTCCACCAGAACTTCCTCAGAACTGCATTTAAAAATGTAAAACCCGCTTCAGACACAAAAAGGATGTATGTTTTTCACTGACAGTGATGTTACTGTCATGATCCAACAGTAACCACAAACATCCATTGCGGCAGTGCTTGCTACATTGTTGGGAGCTAACTTTAGTCCCGGTCCCCCAGGTATAATTTGTAACACTGGCTGGACCAGACATTATAGTTGCAAGATGGAAAGGACAGGAATGCTATGGGCGATGAGACATTAAAGAAGTACTGTACAGTTGAAAATGTCTTCCCAGTATACAACCTAAATCCTTACTAAAAAGTCTGTTTTACAACAGACTGTTCTATAAAAGCTGTGTCAGAAAAAAAAGTGTCAGAAGGTAAGACTCATAAAAGATGTGTGGCAATGTGTATCACTCTGTGCCCACAAAACTGGTGTTTCAGCAATCTGTTAATTCTTAAAATATATGCCAAGGACATTAAATAGTCCTTGTTGAGATTTTTCACTAGTATCAGTACATCCAAGAGACTTTCCAACATACAAGATCAACAAAAGACTTAAATAACCATATTGACATCTACTAAAACTTAGCAATTAACTTGACAAGTAATTTGTTCTTCCAACTTGTTTCTTTAAAACAATGGAAAATATCTGCCCATAAATTAGCACTTTTACAAAAATCTGATGGTATTAGCTATCAGCAACCTTTTCATCTTACTCTTTTGTTAGTATTTGAAATGTATTACCAGTCAGTGAACTTTGTTCTGAAAAGGAAATTTCTTGTTCTAGGTTGAGGTATCTTGTTTCTAATTACCTAAAAATGAAGACAATAATCCCAAGCAATAATCTGCTTTACTCAAAACTATGTTGGTTCAGACACAGCATATCAGATGGCTATTCTATGAACTGGTGAAATGGCAATTCATTAACGTTGTAAAAGACTGTCCTGAAGCAAACAACTAATTTCTTTTCTGACATTAGCAAAGCAAAGGCAATTTTGAAGTCACATTTGCAAAGTAATTGACAAAGCCCTAATGTCTCATTGAACTCAAGGTGTCTTAGATTTTTACTTCACACCGGACAGACTAGTATTTTAAAACCCTGAACTTATTTAGAAACATAATTCATTCTTTTAGAATTACGGACAAGAACTAATAGGGTTTGGCTATATAACCAGGGCAGAATTAAAATTATGTACTGTCCCCCAAAGCAGGTCTGGCTTCTGTCTTTTAGGTAAGACTCTCTAAGAAAATAAGGCCCCTTCCACACAGCTGAATAAATTCCCACATTTTCTTCTTTGAACTGGAATATATGGCAGTGTGGACTCAGATAACCCAGTTCAAAGAAGATATTGTGGGATTTTTCTGCCTTGATATTCTGGGTTATATGGCTGTGTGGAATGGAACTAAGACAAACATAGTAAGTTAGATTATTGAGTACGCCATTAGGAGCACTTGGTGTCTTGAAAAACCGATGTACAAAAAGCTCCCTCTCACGCTACATTCAGGTCTCCTTTGCTCATTTCCAACTATGGTTTTCTTACCTGCTATGCCAAACTCCCATTTGTCCATGGAAGTCCCTCTTATCTATCACAACATTTAAATGGCTTCTTCATGTTTAGAGACAGCATGCCACAAGCAACTATGGCATGCCAATTTAATGGACTGCTTGCAGACTTCCTAAAAGGATCTGGTTTGGTATAGTAGAAAATGGGGTGCTAAATCAAACAGAGTACAAAAGCAGAAATAGGTTCCAAACCTCAAATGATCCATTCATCTCCAAATTTGTTCTGTAAAGGTAGCATATACTTTACAAAAAAAGTGTGGTCTAGAGAAAATTGATTTGCTCCCCAAAATAAATCTTTAAAAGGCAAAGGTAGGGTCTTTAAAATCAATGTGTTGTCGAAGGCTTTCATTGTGGAATCACTGGGTTGACATTTCAACCACATCTATGGCAGGCATCCTCAGAGGTTGTGAGATCTGTTGGAAACTAGACAAGTGGTGTTTATATATCTGTGGAATCCACAGGGTGGGAAAAATAACTCTTGCCTGCTGGAGGCAAGTGTGAATGTTGAAATTGACTACTTTGATTAGCACTGATTGGTCTTGCAGCTTCAAAGCCTCATAGTCTCTGAGGATCCTTGCCCTAGATGTGGGCGAAACATCAGGAGATAATGCTGTTGGAACATGGCCATATAGCCCGGAAAACTCACAGCAACCCAATCTTCAAAATGTATTTATTTATCATATCAGTAGCGAATAAAGAGTACAGTTGTGATGTATTTGATAAAACACAAAGTTTAAAAACTTGGCATTATATTAAATGTCTTTTGACCAGTAGCTGGCTACTTGGAGTGCCTCAGGTGTTGCTATAAGAAGGTCCTCCATTATGCATGTGACAGGGTTCAGGCTGCATTATAATAGGTGGTCTGTGGTTTGTTCTTCTACACACTCACATGTCGTGGTCCCATTTCTTAAGGTTAGCTCTGCATCTCATGGTGCCAGAGCACAGTCTGTTCAGTGTCTTCCAAGTTGCCCAGTCTTC